TCCCCTATATAAGAAGGTGCTACTTCTTATGTAAAATCATCCCACAGAGTTATTGTGTTAACAATTAATCTCTGGTAAAAAATTCCTTAGGGTAAAAATTCCTTAGGGTGATAGTTAGGGTTAACGAGTAGAAAATTCTGTGGGGTAATTTTGGGTAAGTGAGTGGTAGAAAAATTGTGTAATTTTTTGTACATAGTGGATTTTCTACGGCCTTGTTGCCCTGGTGGTTTTTCCCTCTTCGTTAACAGAGGGTTTTCCACGTTAAATTTTGTGTTCTCCAGTTTTTTATTTTCAGAGGATCTTGGGCGGAGTTTCGGTGTGGTTGGAATTCCCAACAGTATCAATAGAAATCTCATTAAATTGGTGAGATTTTGCTATGAATTCTCATTATTTCTACAAAAGTCATTAAAAACTTCACAAAATCTACCAAAGTCACTCGTTTTAAAAGTCATAAAAAGTTCTTAAAAATCTTAGTTGAATACACCCCTAAATGTCATTCGAAATCTCAATCAAATAAACCCCGTTTTATGTGGTTCGATTATTAAAGTTGCTCCAACTAAAGTCGCTTGAAATACCAACAAAAAGCGCGGTACACATTTATTTTATAAGTTCACACAGTTCGCCCTTGCAAACGAGTGCGTGCGTACAGGGAAAATGGCTTTCTCCACCCCCTCCATCTTATCTTCTTCCTGCTCAGTACGCTACCGCCTCAATCCACTACTCTTCTCCGGCCAACGACGTCGTCGCATCTCTCTCTCCCGGCCACACGTTGTTCGTCTCAGATGTATGCGCTTCACCACCGGTAAGCACCGAGGTTCTGATAAAAAAAAGAACAATCAACTATACAACATAATCACGCTAAAATGGTTTTGGAGTGTTTGACAAAAAAATACAGAGATGAAACTTGAAAGTATTCGTCAATGTCCGTCGTTTTCCCGCTGTTTCATTCTCGAGTGTTTGACAAGTGTAGTTGGATGAAGCAGAAACAATTTTTCCGTGTGTGACAAGTAGAAAACTTGTCTAACGGAATTTACTTTTCATTGATAAATTCTGATGCGTTCTTTTTAAATTGGAGTTCGTTATATCTTTGGGGTTTTATGTTGCGGTTGCAGTGTGGTATGTGTGAAATTCTCATCTTTTACTGCAAATTTCAGTTGCTTCCATGGGGGAGAGTGACGGCGTGTTTACTTCGCCCGAAGTAGCAAAGGCCTTTGACTTTACAATGGAAGAAAGAATATATAAATGGTGATTTAACTACTTTTGTTATGCTTTTGAGTTTGTTTTTTACTCGAAGTTCAATATTAATTGAAAATTTCAAACGGTTAATATTTTTTCCCTTATCATTGTAGTAAGTAGAAGCCTAGAAATGCATTTTTTTATCGTCCTAAGAATCCTTGTTAAGAAATTCAATGTGTTAAGAAGCGTGTTGTCAAAATTGGGGTAGACTTTTTCTTTTTCAATTAGGTTATGGTATTGTACAATGTACATTTCGTGAACGGGAATTTTACTTGGTGGTTTATCATGCTTAGAAGTCTATTACGAATGTTGCAGTGTAAGTGTTGTGTTTGTTGTAAGATTGGACAATGAACTTGTATAACACTTTCTATCGCCATAACATCAATATAATATTTAAAGGAAGAAGCTTTTTTGCTTAACTCCATATAGCATTCCTTATTTATATTTTTATGTAGCGTTATGTGGATTAAAAATATGTCTTTACTACTCATGGGCCTTATTTCTTGTTTCCTTTTGATGTGGGTATCAGATTTTGACTTCTCAATGTTCATTAGGTGGGAGTCTCAAGGCTATTTCAAGCCAAATTTGGAGAAAGGAGATGATCCATTTGTAGTCTCAATGCCACCACCTAATGTTACTGGTTCATTGCACATGGGACACGCAATGTTTGTAACTCTTGAGGTTGGAAAGTGTCCTTTTTTTTTTTTTTTCTCTCCTTTTAAGAAAGCAATTTCTTCTCTTCATTGGGGTCCATTTCCACAGTTAAATATCTAAAATGTGTTAATTGGGTAAGGATATATGTGAGATTTCTTTATTTGACACCCTTTAGTTCAGTATTTGTTATTTTTCTATATTACTAAGATATTAATGAATCAAGTTAGGTGTGCCATGCATGAGATGCATGCAGGTTTTATTGTTCATTTTCTTCGGGTGGAACTTTAGAATTTCATGGACCAAGTGTACGCACATAAAGGAGTCTTGTATCACTGAACTGCAGTTTTCTATTGAAGTTTTAGGATGCTAGCTTGTGCTTCCCCCAACTTTTTTGTTTGTTTGTGTTTTTTTTTTTGTTAACTGGCCACAGTTATTGGAACTGTCAGTTAAACAGATACATCCTTCTGGATTATGCTTTAGTTTGGTGCTACTTTTAATCTTTCAGACGATGCTAAAATGTTATTGTTCGGTGAGCCTCAGAAATTACTCGAAGCATCAAATTTTAAGAACTTTGATTCTTTTGTAACTTTATATTATAGTTTAAGTTGAAAAATGCTGAAACTGCTGCAGTTATGATCTCCCTGCTGTTCTTCTACCTCCTTGTCTCCACATTCACTCTTCATGACTTGATGTTGTACTTATTGTTTTCCGTGCCCATTTTTTGCACCACCTTTTATTTTACCATGGTTAATCTGTTTTAAATTTAAAATAAGGGCACCACCTTTTATTTTACCATGGTTAATTTGTTTTAAATTTAAAATAACCTTAGCAATATCGCCTTTCTATTGGTTTTATATGATGATAGGATATCATGGTAAGATACCACAGAATGAAAGGAAGACCTACACTCTGGCTTCCTGGAACTGATCATGCCGGTATTGCCACTCAGGTTGACTCTACATTTAAAATTTTTCTGTGTATTAATTGGTGCAATATAGTGGGTATAATATCTTCTTTTAATGCCTGTGCCCATCTGCTGAAAACAAAGAATAAAATGAATTACTGTAACTGAACTTTGAATATGTTGAGAAACTTGCATAGACTCTTGAAATTTCCATTGCTGCTTGTCATTGTCTATGATTTTCATCGCATAATGTATCTACAATCAGTTTGATAAATCAGAAATGTATCATTTAAATTGGAGTTACATACGTGTGAACACGAGGATGTTGCTGTTCTACTTGTAGTTGGAGGGGCTGCATCAATTTTTGAACTGTTTTATACCCATGGATGGCCTAGGGGCCGTAGGTGTTACCCCTATAATAATTACTAGTCACATTAGATATGTTTTTTATTTTTATACAAACCCTTGTTTTCTTCAGATGTCGTACGGTCTAGAATTTCTCTCAAAATACTCGTATCTTTGTCTATACTTGTTTTTGCCTCCTCCAGCTTTAGTATCTGGCTCCACCACTGGTTTTACCTTGCCAATGGTTAAATATCTCTGTTTCTTTTCAATTTTTGCTCGTTTCCCTTCTTTTTGATCCTTTCTTAAATTATTTACCTTTTCTTATCCCTTAGTTATTATTATGATGTTATGTAACGAAGACTTCCTCATATTCACGATGCTGATACAAACTGATTACCTTTTACCTTTCAGTTGGTTGTGGAAAAAATGCTGGCAGCTGAAGGAGTAAAAAGAGTTGATTTGGGAAGAGAAGAGTTTACAAAACGAGTATGGGAATGGAAGGAAAAGTAAATCTACTTAAACCGCTTCCTTTTTTGTGCTTTTGCTATTGCTTATGCCTGATTCCCCATTAGTGATTCTAACTTTTCAGTTTCTGTTATTTGTGATACAGTTGTCAGTTCTGCATAAGAAGATGAATATTTTTTATGATTTTTCACACGTCTCAGGTCATTATTGCTAATATTGCTCAACTCCTTGTCCCTCACATCCTTGATGGAATTTTGACCAAGTAAAACTAGTGACATTTGTAACATTATTTGACAATGATGGAGTCCCTGTGCTGGAAGTTTAATAACCATTGTTTAAATGCTTAGATGTGGTATTCAATAAGAGGAATTGTAATTTTAGATAATTACCAAGGTTATAATGTAATTAGGTGTCATCATGATGTCCATGGGTTGATTTATGTATTCAATTATCCATTCATATTGGAGTTTTAGTTAAGCTTACTCCAGAAGTTAGCTCCGCCTACTCTTAGTGTGCAGTCAGTATTAGTTAGATTATGCTGCATTAATAATTCAATATTATTGATTAGTTTGGTTATTAACTAATAAATCGTATTCTTCCATATTAGTACATGTTTCAGTTAATGTGTTAAGCTTGTTTTCTCATTTACTTTATTCACTCAAAGCTAGAATCCCGCAATTGACAATACATCCATCCATCTGTCCATCTTCACTTTTTCTTGTTGTTGCTGTCTTAATTCCAGTATTGTCATCCTTTTGAACATACGTCTTTCGTGTTTGTTCCTTTTCTTTGTTTTTTGTTCGTTGTACCAGGATTGGGGATGTCTATGGCTATTATATTTGCACATTCTTTCGTTGTCATCCATTTGAAAATTTATAAATAGAATTAAGCAAGGGAGACTCTGTTAGTTCTTAATTTCTACTGCCGGCTTTTCTTCCCAACTTGGCTGCTGTATTTGCAGCTGGGCTGCACTGTTCGGTTAAGCAAAAATGCTTCTCGGAACAAACGGGCACTTTTAGGATAGAAGAAGATGATTTTGAACAACTCAATGTATTAAGTATTCAGATTTTCTGTGTATTTACAAATGAAAATTGCATCCCTATTTATAAGAACTAAAAACAACTATTCTAGTGGCTTTTCTAGAAATTTCATGAGCTGAAAAATCAGCCTAAAATGGCTGCTATGAAAGTGCCATGAAAGTGTAATGAAAGTGCAAAGAAGTTGCACTTCACTAACAAGGAAACTGCAGGATTATATCTTACAATTCTTCCCCTAATCCTGCTGCTCTTGCTTGTTTCCCACCATTCCAATCTTGATCCTCAGCTCCATGAATCGAAGACGGCCGAGTGGCTTGGTAAGGATGTCTGCGAGCTGCCGTCCGGATTCGACAAACTCTAAAACAATCTGTCCTTCATCGATACAATCACGGATGAAGTGAAAAACGAGTATCGATGTGCTTGCTCTGGTCATGGAGGACTGGATTTTTTGCAAGGGCAATGGCAGGCTGGTTGTCCACCATCAGAGTTGGTGGACGAGCTTCCTTGCCGGTCAGTTCGCCCAGCAACCGACGCAGCCAGACCGCCTGGCACGCCGCTGTGGCTGCCGCCACGTACTCTGCCTCGCACGTAGACAGCGCCACAATCTTCTGTTTCAGCGACTGCCATGAGATTGGGGCCGATCCAAGGAAGACGAGCACACCGGAGGTGCTCTTCCGCCCATCAATGTCGCCTGCCATGTCTGCATCGCTGAAAACCCGTGAGCCGCAGCTCACTTCCGTCGCCGGTCTTGGGGAAAATGATGCCCTGATCCACCGTCCCCTTGACATAGCGCAACAACCGTTTTACTGCAGCCCAATGATCCTCTCGAGGGTCCTCCATGAAACGACTGACATAGTCCACGGCGAATGCGATATCTGGCCTCGTGTGGACTAGGTAGCGCAACCCGCCGACGATACTCCGGTAGAGTGTTGCATCCACCTTCGCTGCGGTGCTGGCTTTCGTCAGCTTCAGCCGCTCCTCCATCGGAGTCGCGCATGACTTGCAGCCAGCCATACCGCTCCGCTCCAACAGCTTCCCCGCATACGCACGCTGGCAGAGAGTGATGGAGTCTCTCTCCTGCTTCACCTCGATGCCGAGGTAGTAGGAGAGCTGCCCGAGATCGCTCATGCGGAAACGAGCTGCCATCTCGCGCTTGAAGTCGTTGATTTCCCCTTCTCTTGCCCCGATGATGATCAAGTCATCCACATACACGCCGACGACGAGCTCCTCCTTCCCCCGTCGTCGCGTGTAGAGCGCGTGTTCTGTCGCGCAGCGCGTGAACCCAAGCGTACCCAGGGTGGCATCGAACTTGACGTTCCACGCTCGCGGGGCTTGTCGCAGCCCACAGAGTGCCTTCCGCAGCCGCAACACCTTGTGCTCCTCTCCCTTGACGGCGAAGCCCGGGGCTTGCTTGACGTAGACTGTCTCCGCTAGCTCGCCGTTGAGGAAGGTCGATTTCACGTCTAGGTGATGAATGCGCCAGTCCTTCGCTGCCGCCATGGCCAACAGTAGGCGAACTGACTCCATGCGCGCCACTGGTGCAAAAACTTCCTCAAAGTCGATGCCCTCACGCTGGACGGAACAACGAGCAACGAGGCGCGCCTTGTGCTTGACTATGGCGCCACACTCGTCCCGCTTGACCTTGTAGACCCATTTGAGCCCGATTGGATGACAGCCTGGGGGTGGATCGACGAGCTCCCACGTCTCATTTTCCTCGATCGCCTTCATCTCCTCTAGCATAGCTCGTCTCCAACTGGCATCGCGCTCGGCCTGCGCGAAAGTCGATGGCTCCTCTGCGCTGATGAGGAGTAGCTCCTGATCGTCGAGTAATCGGCTCGCCAAACCTGGTACAACCGAGTTGCCAACGAGGTTGTCCATCCTGCGAAACCTCACTTCCTCACCATCGTGGAAGGCATCCACATACTCGTCGATGTTGCTTGGAGGAGAGGCGAACTCAACAGGTGTCCCCTGTCCTGTCGCAACAGGGGACTGTGGTGGGGGCGTGTGCGCAGCCGCTGGTGAAGACTCTTCGCCCGTGCCCATGGCTGGACTTTGGGGGTCAACCGACGCAACCACAGTTGCTGGACTTGGCGCGTCCGCAGCTGGCTCCTCTGCTCCCGCATCTCCTCCTCCGTGGATCACCAAATGCTCGATGACAAACGTACCGCCGACGCCACGGGCTTCCCCCGTGCCAGGATCTCCCAATCCCAGGCCGCCATTTCGTCGAACACCACATCCCGCGAGACCACCACCTTGCCTCCTCGTAGCCTAGGAACACCATCGGTGTGCTCCTATCCTCAAGCTTGGACAGGAAGGGCTTCGTCTTCTTCACATGGCCAATGCACCCGAACGTCCTAAGAAACGAGACGTCGGGTTGCCTGCCATGCCAAGCTCTGAATGGTGTCATGCCCTTCAGGGCCTTCGTGGGCGCGCGGTTGAGGATGAACACCGCCGTGCTCACAGCCTCTCCCCAGAACTCCGCCGGCATGCCCTTTGCCTTCATCATGCTTCGAGCCATGCCCACCACGGTCTGATTCCGCCGCTCCACTACGCCGTTCTGTTGCGGTGAGTACGACACAGTGTGATGGCGCACTACCCACTAGTTTGCACAATACGCGGCGAGTTCCACCGATGTGAACTCGCCACCGCGATCCGTCCTCAGCACGCGCAGCCGCTCTCCGGACTCTGCCTCAGCCCGCGCCTGGAATCGCTTGATTGCCTCCGCCGCCTGATCCTTACTCGTCAGGAGCTGCAGCCACATGAAACGGCTACAGTCGTCCACGAGCAGCAGGAAGTAGCGTCTTCCGCCGTGCGTAGCCGGCGTGATCGGCCCGCAGAGGTCGCCGTGGACGAGTTCGAGGACGTCCGCCGCACGATACTGGACCGCCTTTGGGAAAGGCAGCCGCCTCTGCTTCCCTGCCAAGCAGCTGTCGCACAGATCGCCTGCGTGCTCGATGTGCGGGAGCCCGCGCACCGTCTTCCTCAGCCGACCGAGTGCGTCGAAGCTCAAATGGCCGAACCGAGCATGCCATATCCATGGCTCCTCAGTGTGCCGTACCGCCAAGCACACCGGTTGCTCCACTTTCAAGTCGAGGAGGTAGAGGCAGTTTCGGGAACGCTGGACCTTAGCCAGCAGCCGCTGTTCCCGGTCCCTGAGCTTTAGCACGCCGCCTTTGACAAGCACCTCGCATCCGTGCTCGTCTAGTTGGCCGATGCTGACGATGCTTGAACGCAACTGCGGGATATAGTACACATCCGTCAATGCGCGGTGCACGTCGTTCTGACACCGGAAGATGACAGTGCCGCGACCTCGAATCTCCACCTTCGAGCCGTCGCCGAACTTCACCGTCCCGTCACGCCGTCATCAAGCTCAGAGAAGGCCTCCTTGGAGCCGGTCATGTGGTTGCTGGCGCCGGAGTCCAGGTACCACCTTTGCTCCATGCCACCGCCCATTCGTCCAAGGTGGACTTGGGCACTCGACTCGTCGAGGTGAACGGCCTGCCTTCCCCTGCGTAGCCGCCGCCTTGGCTTCCTCCAACTCTGGCTCGACGTCGTGCAACTTGCAGGTCGTTGCCATGAGATGAGATGGCTCCTCGTTGTCCACCTGCTCGAGGTGCGCCTCCCTCTTCTCCTTCTTGGGATTCTTGCAATCCCGGACCCAGTGCCCTGTCTTCCCGCAGCGTCGACAAGTGTCCTTATCGATCGGACGTGCGTTGTTGTCGTCCTTCTTCTTCTGCGGGCCTTACCACGGCGCTTGCCGTAACCACCACGGTTGGAGGAGCCTTCCCCGGGTCGCCGCTCGCGCATACGAGCTGCCCATTCTTCCTCGGTTAGTAGTAACTTGCCGCTGGTAGTTATCGTCGTCGTCTCCACGCGGTCATCCACTGCCCGCAAGCGCCCAGTCACATCCTCAATCGTGAGGGTGGACATGTCGATCAACGTCTCGATGGAGAGCGCGATCTGGGCATACTTAGGCGGCACGACGCGCAAGTATTTCGCTACCGCCTCCTCGTCGGTGATGGTGTCGCCATGCGCCGCCAGCTGACTGACGAGCGACTGCAAACGGAGCGAGAAATCCTCCACTGCCTCGCCGTCGCGAAATGCCAGCGCCTCATACTCCCGCCGCAACTGTTGCGCCTTCGTCTTCTTTGCGCGATCAGACCCGATGCGCATGGCCTTGAGGGCGTCCCAAGCAGCCTTTGCGGAGTCCTTTGCGCCCAACGACTCCACGTACTCGTGAGGCACAGCGGACAGAATCGCTTCCATCGCTGCGCAGTCCTCTTCTTCATCCTCGGTGCCTTCCTCGATGGCCCGCCAAAGCTTGCGCGCACGCAACTTGACCTTCATCAACACCGCCCACTCACCGTAGTTTGTGCGTGTGAGGACCGGCCAGTTGGCCCCGCCAACGTCTCGCACGGTCCTGTGGATGATGACCTCCTGACGCGGTGAAGCGTTTGCTCCGCTCCCTTGCACCATCTATGCAACATCTTGGCTTGCCATGGCTCTGATGCCACTTGTTAGTTCTTAATTGCTACTGCCGGCTTTTCTTCCCTGTATTTGCAGCTGGGCTGCACTGTTCGGTTAAGCAAAAACGCTTCTCGGAACAAACGGACACTTTTAGGATAGAAGAAGAAGATTTTGAACAACTCAATGTAATTTTCTGTGTATTTACAAATGAAAATTGCATCCCTATTTATAAGAACTAAAAAACAACTATTCTAGTGGCTTTCCTAGAAATTTCTTGAGCTGAAAAATCAGCCTAAAATGGCTGCTATGAAAGTGCCATGAAAGTGTAATGAAAGTGTAATGAAAGTGCAAGGAAGTTGCACTTCACTAACAAGGAAACTGCAGGATTATATCTGACTCGCTTTATGCATATATGTTCGTTAATTTGTTCTTGTTTTATGTAATAATGAACTCATGAAACATAGAGACGTGTCGCGTTCATCTGACTTGCATTGCTACTGCTACTTTAGAGTATGAGCAACAGTTTTCGGTAGGAAAATGAGGCACCTAATGATTTTGTTATGATGATATAAGTGTTACACATATGCTATACGAAAAAATAAAAGGAAATGAGGGTGCTCAACTGCACACTCAATTTTTGTATACCACAATGATATTTGGTAGAGCTTTCTGCATGTCATTTTTTGGGGTTAATGATGGGGCAGATAATGTGCTTCCCTTTTTCCGGTGGACACTCTTATGGTATCCTGAAGAAACCTGCTTGCACTTTGGGAATTTGTAATCCAACGTGTAGTTTTCATTTTTTTTTATTCAGTGTTTTGTGGTGCTCATTCAATGTATTAATTGCAGGTATGGTGGGACAATAACAAATCAGATCAAGAGACTTGGTGCTTCTTGCGATTGGACAAGAGAACGGTTTACTCTAGATGCTCAGCTGAGTCGTAAGGCAGTTTTCATCCAGTAAATCCTCAATCAACCATGCATTGTTCAGAGTGTGTTAGGATGTTTAGAATAGTGCATTATTATTGGTGGATTACCTATTACTATATAAGAAATTTTCTATTAAAGAGCAAAGTTCCTTGTTTTTGTCATATATTTTATTATATTATGTTTGTTTGAAACCAATTAGTGAGCTCTACGTAGCATAGGGCTAGAATACCCACTAGGTTTATGTTTAGGGTTATATCTAATTAAGCGTATTACAGCCATCAATTTGGATAAATTTTGGTGGAAAAGAATTGCCGGCTTTAAGATGGGCAAGATTCATCCCGAGGAGAACATGTTCTAATTATCTTTTTGGATTAACATTATCACTATTTTTTTTTTATTGTTTGGCTTACTTTACCCTTGATTCAATTATTTTTTATTTTAAAAGCTTACAGCATTGAACTCATCAAACTGCTATAATTTAATTTGGTGAGTTAAAGCTGCACTATGTGTTACATTTTTGTGCCACATAACTTGTTTGTAAGATTTTTTTATTTTCAACTTCTGCAGGAGCAGTAGCCGAGGCGTTTGTTAAGCTTCACGAGAAAGGCTTGATCTATCAAGGCAGGCACAATTTGCTTATTAACTTTCTATCGCTACTGATATAAACTTGAGGGACATTCTTTCATATGTGTTACATGCCTTTTCGGTTATAGAGGAAAAATGCGTGATTACTCTCTCTCTCCCCGAGTGATTTGATTATTGATGTTAACTCGCTTTTAGGATAAAGAGAAATAAGAAACTTCATACAACAACAACAACAACAACAACATACCCAGTATATTCCCAACTGGTTGGGGACTGGGGGGGTCAGTTGTACGCAGACCTTACCCTTGTAATTATACAAGGAGGCTGTTTCCGTAGCGACCCAAGGTGCAAAAATAAGAAACTTCATGCCCTCTCAAAAAACTTAAATATATAATTGCCACAATTTAGAAACCCTTGCCCGCTCTCTTTGCTATATCGCTGTGTATCCATTAAGTTAAAGTTTATTATATTACAAAACTGATAGTTTTATTCTCATTTCTACTCTAGTAATATTTTCACACTTTCCTTAAATTTGTGGACTAAATCTTTCTGCGCTGTGCATGCCGAAGTACTTTGTGAAGAATTTTGATTGTAATATATGTAGTAACGTTTAGTTTCTTCCAGGCTCTTACATGGTGAACTGGTCACCTAATCTACAAACTGCAGTTTCGGACCTGGTACGCAATTTATGACTACATTCCGTTATAAATCACTTTTTAGCTTTTATAATTGTTAGTTTGACTGCCTCTCTCTTCTTTTGTGTGTTCGCCTATCAAATTTTTCTTTCCTTTAGGAAGTGGAGTACTCAGAAGAACCAGGTGCTCTTTATCACATTAAGTACCGTGTTGCTGGTGGTTCAAGGTATTAGCCGTGTTAAAAAGTATTTTAGGCAGGTGTACAGCTACATGCATCAAACCTTGTATCTGCATGATATTTTATTCTCGGATTGAGCAAATAGCAGTACAGTCACAAAGCAATTGGAGAAATATTGCACCTATTGCTGGTTGAATTGGAAAAATATTGTAACATTCTTCATGCCATTCGTAGGTATAGAATTTAATCGTGAAGCACATGTTTGAAAAAAAGAACTTATTGAACTTTCTTAGAAAGAGAACTTGAATGCTCATTTTGTCAATGAAGTTTATCTGTCCTGGGTAATTGATCATCAGATTGGTGGATGAAAGACAAGGAAATTTTCAAGAGAAGAACACTTGCATGAATCCACCTTCTTTAAGAGCTTATACTTGTCTATATTTTTGTGCTTCAATTTAATGCAGAAGTAGACCTATATACTCGTGTGCGCAAATAGTGAGTTATTTTTCCTAACAGGAGTGACTATCTAACAATTGCAACCACAAGGCCAGAGACTTTATTTGGTGATACAGCTGTAGCTGTGAACCCCCAGGTAACTTCGTCTGTAAGATATGTTTTTCGATTTCTGCATAAACTGATCCTCAGGACCTTAACTTTCTTTTGGTCTTGGTACATGAAGTAAAATTTTTTGTTCTATCACTAATTTTTTATTACGGTTACCAAGACTCTGTTAAGTTTACAACGTAACTACCAAAACAATCATGTTAATAAATAAAATCTATCTGGAGAGCGTCGTTCACCATGAATGTGAGAAGCTGTGGGATGAAAGAAGAGCTGAAGAGGAGCTTTAATCTGGACATTTGGAGATTGACTTGGCTCATTTGACAAATTTGATTAATGTTTTTCTCATGTTAACATTATTGCACGTGAGAGGAGGAGATGCTACAGAGATATCCATTATTTTCAATATCTAGTTCCCAACATGAAAGTATAATTCTAACCTGGGAACAAATTCATTCAGTCGTAATATCCCTTGCACCACTTTGCCGTAAATAACTTGACTACTGTGAAGAGCAGCTCTGAAAGATGTGTTGAGTCACATAGAGGCTGATACTAAATAATTCATTCCCAAGTGTCTGATGGGTTTTGAAATGAAAATTTTACTATATTGAGACAACCTGGTGGTAGCACATCAGGACCATAAAAGTTGTGAGTCTTCTTGCACGATACATCATACATTAACATATATGCTGATTTTGAAACTTGAATGTTCGATCATGTTCAGAAATCATTGTGAATTCACATTATTTTTTTAATACATGTTAACCAGTGGAGTGTTATGTCTTAGACAGCCCACAATATTCATTTCTTTTATAAAATGAGTTACTTATATTAGACTGCAGAGCTGTTCATGCTTGGCCTTTGGCCGGATATTTCTACAATAAGAGTACTCAAGTTATCTCTATCTATTATTTACCATATTTGTCCTTTTTCTTTTTAAAAGATTAAGTGGTAGTCATATTTTTGTTTCTGCTTCTGGTCATTTTATTGAAATTTAGGGCGTATCATACTCTAATATGTATTGATGTTTCTTAGGACGAACGATATTCTAAGTACATTGGAAAGATGGCTATTGTACCCATGACTTTTGGTCGACATGTGCCCATTATTGCTGATAAGGTAAAAGGTTTTTTCTCACGATTCAATACATCCTTTAGGATACCTCCATCACACATATTAGAAAAAAATAAAAATAAAAATAGAAATCTGATGGGCGTGAAGGTTCTTACACAGCCCAGTATTTGTTTGCTTGAACATAGTTAATTTCTCTAAATTATTGGCCACAAGAATTAGCTCAACTGTTAAATTTTTGTGTTATTAACTCTTTTTAATATATTAAACTGATGTATGTTCTACTCTAGTTCAAACTTCAAAATTATTGTCAGTTTCTTATTTTGTTAAATGCATATCAGATAAGTATCTATTTCTTGTGTAGAATCTATTTTCTTGTTAATGCTTTCATTGTACTGGATGTCCTGGTTTAACTTTACTTTCACGTCAACAATGCAGTATGTGGATAAAGACTTTGGAACCGGTGTCTTGAAGATAAGCCCTGGCCATGATCACAATGATTACCTTCTTGCTCGGAAGCTTGGTCTTCCCATTCTTAGTGTCATGAATAAAGATGGGACATTAAATGATGTTGCTGGGTTATACTGGTATCTGTGAAAATTCGAACTTAAACTTCTCAGCATTGATAAAAGGAATTTATATCCTGGCCTAATATTCTCTAATCACATAAAGCAATATTCAGTGGTCTTGACCGGTTTGAGGCACGAAAGAAGCTTTGGTCAGCGCTTGAGGAGACAGGATTAGCTGTCAAAAAGGAGCCTCACACTCTACGAGTTCCAAGATCTCAGCGAGGTGGAGAGGTGTGTGAAAATTGGATAATGTTTGCTTGAATATCCGCATTTATTCCCCATTTCTTATGTGGATTTCCTACTTTTCAGATAATAGAGCCCTTAGTAAGCAAACAGTGGTTTGTGACAATGGAGCCCTTGGCTGAGAAGGCTCTCCAAGCAGTTGAAAAAGGGGAATTAACTATCATGCCTGAAAGATTCGAGAAGGTACATAGTATTAATTGTCTTTTCAAATGCACTTCATTTATCCTCTTGGGAATCTTTTCTGCTAGGGGAGATTAAAGAAATAAAAGGAAGCGGAGTTTTTGAGAATTTCAAATGAACCTTTGAGGTTGACTTCATCTAATGTTTCTTCCAAAGACAAAAAAGAAACATTTTTGAATCCCCTACACATCTGTAAAAGTATTCAGATGACCCCATCAGTGTAAGCAATATTAAACCTCAAGGGTTTATAAGTTAATTATTTATTTGTAAATTTTAATAACCTTGGGGGTTTCTGTAGTAAACCCAGAACCTCAAGTTATTGATTATTTTTACGCCATTATATTATCTGAACTTTTTTTCTTTGCTTTTCTTGATTTGTTGATTCTTTTTCTAGCACCTTAGTGGCTAGTATTCTTGATATTTCCTCATATTTTGAGCTGACAACAGGAGAATTTAAAGCGTGGTCATCTCTATATACATTATTTGGATTTAATTTAGTTGAAATTAAAAATGTCATTATTTGTTTGCAGCTAGTGTTGCATTCTTACTTGTGTACTTGATGGTTCAGATATATAATCATTGGCTGTCAAATATCAAGGATTGGTGTATAAGCAGACAACTATGGTGGGGGCATCGCATACCAGTTTGGTACATTGTGGGCAAAGATTGTGAAGAGGACTACATAGTTGCTCGGAACACTGAGGAAGCTCTTCAAAAAGCTCATGAGAAGTATGGCAAAAATGTTGAATTATATCAGGACCCCGATGTTCTTGATACCTGGTTTTCGAGGTTACTGTTTAGCCTGCCTGTTTTCTCTTTATATATTTGCTGTATGCTTTCGCAAACAAATGTCTGGCTCGAGTAAAAAAAAAAAAAATCTGATGTATATAAGTAAGCATTTCTGAGTTAAGAAAAAATTGTACAATTTGAATTTACATTATCAGCTTTATGGCCATTAACTATTGGATGGGATTTAGCGGTAAATGCATGGTAAGTTTGTATTGATACCATTTTATATCGAGAATTGGTATGTGCCGAGTAAGTGGTCCAAGTCTTTCTTTAATATAGTACATCAACCAGTGCAAGAAAAAAATCATTTTGTTATGGCTTGCTGGGAGAAAAAGAAATGCAATGATACTGGGTATTTTTTTTCGACTAACGATCGTGAATGTGGGCTGAATAGCATTATTTGTATGCCAGAAATTCGGGGATGCGAGTGAAATCAAACTGAAGCTCTCAATTAATTGCCCATGTTATTTCCATATTACTCCTTAAATAAGTAAACTAGTAATATCTCACTGTCATAGTTGAGTTGATGCTTGGTAGGCTGGTAGCTAAATGTTCAGCTGTCCAAAACATTGACGATAACATGCCAAGTGACTTAAAATAGCTGATCACTGAACTCATCATGTTTCCTTTCATTTAGTGCACTGTGGCCTTTCAGCACTCTTGGTTGGCCGGATGTGTCAGCAGAAGATTTTAAGAAGTTTTACCCTACATCAGTTCTTGAAACCGGGTATGCAGTTTGCTACTTATGGATTTTCCTATTTACCTTTATGTTTATCTAGTGACAATGCGATTGAGATGAAGAATGGGTCAGGTAATCGAAAAACTGTTGGCATGCATTTTATTCTGTTAAAAATAAATAATAGTTCGAGGTTTTAAATACATGGAGAGTAATGCATAACTTTTTATTTCCCCTGAAATTTTGTTTAGGGAAAAAATGGCTGCTGCAGTGTTTTACATGGAAGAGGCTTTATCACTTCTTTGTCCCTCTCTGCTACTGACTTTTGCCTCCACCTAGAAAAATAATTTGATAAAGAAAATTCTGTTTAGTTTTAACTATTATCTTGGTGACTGAACATCTGTATTTGGCATGGCAGTACTTTTCATACCTAGAAAATTAAATCGCATCATTCCTTCTCTGGCCGATTTCCTTTGCACTTTGCATTATTTGATGCTTCATATTGTACTATATTATGATATCCACCCACTAGTTTGAAACTGTTTCATTACCAACATGTTGGTGTTTTTTTTACCTTCCTCTAAGAAGACCTGTTGTTACTTTGATACTTTTTGTTAGTAAGTTCATTGCTTACAAATGAGGATTCTATTCTTATTGTCTTAAGATAAAAGAGCTGCCCCATTTGAACAGGCATGACATATTATTCTTCTGGGTGGCAAGAATGGTGATGATGGGAATAGAATTCACAGGGACAGTTCCATTTTCAAATGTTTACCTTCATGGACTTATCCGAGATTCTCAAGTGAGTCAAAAGTGACTTTCTCACCATAATCGAGCAGTTTGTTACAAAAGCTTATCTTTCTTTCAAATAACTCGAACTCTTGCTTGCTTAATGACTTTGATGACATGATCATGCTTTGATATACCGATACTGCATTTCACCTCACGTATAAGTAATTTAAATTTCTTAATGTATGACATGCATAAATTGAAACTTAGTAAGCATGTATTGTCTTTCTCAGACAATTACTTAAGTCATTTTCATTGTAATACCAGGAAGGTGCCCATGTGATGCACCGGATCCTTTTTTTTTTTTTT